CACTCAGCATTTGAATCACAGTAAATAGTTTTCATAAGGAAGAAGGGCCCAAGCAGCATCTTGCCTAAAGTTATGTTAAAATGTATTAGACATATTGATGAAAACTTAAGAATGATATAAGTGTTGTCACTAGCTAGGAAGTCACTGGAAAAAATGACACCCCAGGAATGATGGCATGCTAAAAATAATGTCATGACCACTTTTGCCCTCTCCAATTTTAATCCCTATCCCATCTTGGCCTGTACCCAAAGTCCCATTTTACTGCAGGAGACTAAACAATAGGCCTTTATTATTGGCTCCAAATGACTGGCTGATTGTTTACGCCAATATAGGAATAATTTACAGACACAACAGTAAGAAAACAAAAATGTATAAATAGAACTTCTAAAAAAATGTGAAAGGACTTGCAAGAGGAAATGGATGGGCAAGGAAAAAAGAAAAAAGAAAAAAATCTTAGCTGAAAGATCTGAAGACCCTCAGTATGTTTAGAGACCCAATATAAGAAGGACATAAAATTATATTCTAATATAAAGTCTGACAACTTTTACTACTCCCGTGTATTTCAGGATTCAAGCAGACAAACACACATACAATTCAGATGCAAATGCACACTGAGCACATCTCTATCAGATGCAAGTTGCACAAGGAAAACAGGAACGCTGAAGTTAAGGGCACTGTCACTTTTAGAAACTTATACATATTGCCTTGGTATATTTCAGTTACATTAAGACAACGTTGTCTAAAGAAAACTAAAGGTATCATCCTTCAAAGCTGGTTTTCTTCCTTGCATGTACAGAGGGGCCAGTCCAAAAAGGACCACCTTTGAAGTATTATCTGTCATTTATACTGAAAACCACCATCATTTAAAGTCACCTCCATAACTTCTTCAGAAAAGCTATTCACAGAAAGATCTGTAAGATGATACTTGATTGTTTTCAAATAATCAATGCAATTTTATAAAGATGATATATTTTGATATTAATATATTGAAAGTAAAGAAACCTTAATTTTAGTATGTTATTCATAAAAAGAAAACCCCAAAGATAAAAAGGATAAATTGTTCACAAGCAAATATGTCACCCCCATCTTTTTTTGATTTCCAAACTAAATAGAGGATTGCATTCAGCTCAAGGGTCGTTTCAAGAGTTCCCAGCACTGTAGGCAACATACCATCTTCTCTGTATCCCTTCCAGAAAAAGGAAAGGGATGGAGCAGGGACAAAAAGCAGCAGTGATGAGCCTAGGAGACTCAGGCTAGCTGCTCTGAAGAAAAGATGATTCAAAGGAAAGATGCAAATGCTGTTTCTGCTGAGTGGTGCCATCTTTGTGTCGCAAAGGGCTTCTGCCCAACATCTGATTCTTCCCAGTCTTGTTTTCCAGGCTTTATATGAGCAAAGCTAGGACTTTGTGCAGGAAAGTGCCTACACTTACACCTGGCCCTTCTAATGCAGTGTTTATGTAAAATGATTCAAGCACAGATTTTTTTCACTCTCAATAGAAATTTTACCAACTTTTGTACTGCAAAATGGAGTTACAACTCACACAGTAAAAAGCAATGATTATGTGGATGTAAATCAGCATAAAGAACTGGACACAATAAAGTATCTGGCACCTTTAAAAATGAGCACAATAAATAAAATTTTTTAAAAAGCCCAAATGGGCCCATTTTCAAATTACTTTGGTGTTTCTAAAACTGTATCTTAAACAGACTCCCTAGTCACACTGCTAAAGATAAGCTTCAGGATGTTTGAAGCACACCACCACTCAAAAGAATTACATTCTCTTTTATCATGGCAATCTTCATTAAAAGCCTACGACTTTCATAATCAAGCTGTACACCTATCTCTTAAAACTCTCCTGTCCTGGGCTTTAAATTAACTCCAACTTTAAGGCCAAAGTCATATTTCAACCATAAACTAGGTCATCTTTAGTACATAATTTATTTGTCTTTGCAAGCCTTTTCTATGCAGCAGGCTTGAAAGGAAGTACGTCAGCCTTTGGTATCTCTCACTTTAAATATAACCTCACCACTAACACCAGTCTCAACTTAGGACATGATCATATGGGTGTGAGTGTTATCTTATTTCCTCACTCCTAGTCCTCTATGTATTAAAGAGCTTATCAATAAACCGGCCTAACCCACAATGCTACCACAGATATAGACATACATTTATTTAAATTATGTACAAAATATCGTGTGTAGATGAAAGCAAGTCATGCCATAGACCTCCTTCAGCTCAATATTCCATAGCAGTATTGATCCTATAAAACTAACAGAAATTTAAAATGGTAAGAATCCTATTGTTACATTCTTGAGTACAAGTGGGAAAATTCTTTTTAGTAAGAATATGGCCATATTTGCATCAGTTCCCAGGTATAAACTGCTTTTATAAAAAGGCTTGTTAAAAAAAATAAATATCAAAACGATAGCAGGAACCAGGCGTTAATCTCAGTTTTAAACTGCTCCCTCAGATGTAGCTTTAAATGCAAGTGGTTGTAAATTATGTAAAACCTCATAAAAAATTGCATAAAACTTGGACTGGAACAACTGAAATCTCACAGAAAAATACTCTAGCTTAAATCATTAAAAAAAAAAACAACAAAAACCAACAAAACCCCAAACAAAACCCAACAACAAAACACTATTGAGTTTTGTAGTTTCTTTTGAAAGGTTTTATTTTCTTCTAGAACCACAGATACATAGCTTATATTTTGCAGAGAAACAGAACTTAACTACCTCCAGTAACCTGAAATCACACCTTGTGGGCAGACCCCTGAAACAGAGAATGTCTTTTGCTCAGCTCAGCATTTTTTAAATACAGAGCAAGGATACAATTTACCAGAATTGAATGTGAATAGCTTGACATTTATAGCAACACATTCAATTTCTTTTCCCATTTCAACTTTCAGGCAGCTCCCTCAACAAAGTTAAGTTTTTTCTTCAACTTTCATTCACTCTGTCAGAAAGATAATAATCTAGACTGAATATTTCTATTGTACAAGGCTGTTATTAAGCTATGCCCAAGTTTAAAAAGAAAGTCTTGACAGAAAAAAAAAAGGATTATTTGATTGCAATGCCTTCCTGTCCAATCTTGATTGGAAGTACATTAAAATAAATGAAGACTTCTAGCTAGATATCTTTCTGTGATATTTCTGTTGGCCTGTTAGGCAGAACTAACATTACAGAAGAATAATCTTCTCCGCTGCTAGTAAAAAAATTCATAGAGCACTTCCTGCATTTCGTGGACCAGTTTGATCTCCTCTAGCCTCATGTACCCACCAGGAAAAACCTCCACGCAAGAATGCTACACGGGGAGCCTTACAGGGGATGTGCTGACCACTGGAAAAGAATTAAGTTTTGACAGAAAGGAGAGGGAGAAAGAGGAAAGAAGGGGAGAAAGAACAGGCTGCCCAGAGAGGTTGTGGATGCCCTATCCCTGGAAGCATTCAAGGCCAGGTCTGATGGGGCTCTGAGCAACCTGGTCTAGTGGAAGGCGTCCCTGCCCAGGGCAGGGGGTTGGAACTAGGTGATCTTTAAGGTCCCTTCCAACCCAAACCATTCTGTGATTCTATGAAGAGGAAAGAAAGGGCTGAAAGAGGAAAGAAAGGGCTGAAAGAGGAAAGAAAGGGCTGAAAGAGGAAAGAAAGGGCTGAAAGAGGAAAGAAAGCGAGGAAAAAACCCAACTGTGGCGTGGCTGCTACTCCAGAAAGCAACCCAGCGTACTCACTTCAGCTCCGGACATCCAGCTTCACCTATCCACCGGGCAGTCTTTTTCTGTTGACAGGGATTTCCAGGCCCTCGGAGGTCTCCTCTCCCCGGCCGGAGCTGCACGCAGGCACTCCTGCCGTTGCCCTGACCGGCAGCAGCCGTCTCGCGGCCTGGAGAATGGCCATTGCAGCTGCGCGCCCCAGTCAAGCCAGAGCTTCGCAGCCGTCCGCAACTCCAGCTTCTGGCCCGAACAACCCCCGGAGCCGGTGCGAGCACAGCTGCCGGCGGCGAGCCCGCCCTAGACCTTCACCACAGCCCTGAGAGCAGCCCCAGCCCACCCCGAGGCGCCTCCCACGCTACAGTTTACCGCCTCGAGCCGACACCCCCACGCCCAGTGCGGCTCAAGCCCCACCCTGTGGATACGCGACAGCTCGCGCGCTTTTAGGAGAGCATGTGGCAATCATCGCTCCACGTGGGGAGAAGAGCGCCCTCGGCTAATCAGCGGTCTCCGTTCACCTCTAGACCGCCCAGGTAACAGCCAATGGGGAGCCGACACGCGAGGGCGAGGGGCTCGAGGCGGTTGGCCGTCGGCAGTTGGAGCTGTGCGACAGGTGGCAGTGGATGTGGTGTGGTGCGGCGCGGCGCGGCCGGAGTTCCTCAGCTTTGCAAGACATCATGGTGGGGAAGGGAATCCTCGGGGCTGGGGAGGGGAAGGGTACTTGGGAGTGCTTCTGCTGCGGCAGTCTGGGGAGTTTGGACGGCATGCGCTGCGGCAGGACTTGGAGGCAGCCTCTCCGTGGAGTCCCCGCGGTAGCAGTAAGGCAGATGGACTGGGGAGAAGGAGAGAAATTGGTGCAGGAGTTAATAGTTCAAGGGAGGCGAGGCACAGAAACTGGCCGCTTGCTAGTAAGACGAGACGTGTAGAAAAGCGACGGACGTCTGTCAGTAGCGGGCGCCTTCCGCGCGGAGGGGTGAGGGGCGGGCTGAAACCTGACCCAGGCGGGAAAGCACGGCGGCAACCAACCGCATCGCTCCGCCGTTGCTGGGCCGTCTCGCCGAGCCAAGCCGCAGAGGCTTGCGCGTAGCCAATCAGAGGAGAGGAGTGTGGCCGGCAGCCAACGGCACCGCGTGCTCTTGAGAGGGCAGTGGTGAAGGGGCGGGGTGGGCTGTTGTTGCGGGGATTGTTTCTGGCCGGCTGGAAGCGCGGCATGGCGGTAATGCGACGGGGGATGGGGAACGGTGAGGCGGCGTGAAAGCTTCGGGAACTTTGTGCCAACCGAATGGGAGTGGAAGTAAGCACAGAGTTAGTCTCCAAAAGACTTCTGACAGAACCACGGGGTGAGAATCAAAACGTGCAGTCAAGGATACAAGTTTTGATGAAGCCATCAAGAAAACAGGAAAGAGCAGCCCAGATGCCCTACTTTTAATTCACTACCTCTGCTTTTTCCTAGATACACTGTAACAGTAAGCTAGAAAAATGGCTTATTTCCGTCTGGGGTGTAAGACAAAATGGAGGTCTTGAGAGATTAAACATACATGGTACAGTTGCTTAGAATCAAAGGAGCTGGATAAAAGTGGGCGGATGACATTTGATGGGGACTCACAGATGATTTCACAGAGGAACTCAAATATGTATGAATTGCCAGGGACAATGTACTAAGTGGTCCTGTGCAGGAAAGATTCTTGCAGCAGTTATCCAGTATGCGATTTGGCAACAAATCAAGGAAATTTAGGGATATTATGTAAAGAAGTCTTCCAAAACTAAAGGAAGGTGAAAAAGAGACTAGGCAGAATATTAAAGATACGATATACATGCAGCATGGTAAGGGATGATGAATCTGTATTCACCCTCTATGTTCATAGAGACTATATTGTCTTTAAGATCTTCCAATATTCTCAAAGTCAGCCCAAGTCAACTAAGGTGAGTAGAGTCTTGTCAGCAGCAGACAATTTGATCAGTTGAATTGTCACTCGAGCAACCAGGGAATACTGCAGCAGAGAAAGATCATGGAAAGATACAACCCGCAGATAGGTAGTTATTATAAGAATAAAATCTAGAAGACAGGTAGCTCCATATCTCATTGTCATTGTACTGTTTTTAATTTGCAGCGTGAATGCATATCCATCCACGTTGGTCAGGCTGGTGTTCAGATTGGTAATGCTTGTTGGGAATTGTATTGTCTTGAACATGGGATCCAGCCTGATGGCCAAATGCCTAGCGATAAAACTATTGGAGGTGGAGATGATTCATTTAATACCTTCTTCAGTGAGACAGGAGCTGGTAAACATGTTCCCAGAGCAGTGTTTGTGGACCTAGAGCCAACTGTAGTTGGTATGTACCCAACATTAAAGATCTTCAGTGTAAAAGTGCAGATTCCCTATGGCGTTTTTTGTTTGTTCAGAACACTATATATTTTAAAAGATGTGTGTCTGGATGCTGTTTTGACATTTGAGGTTATTATTTGAAAGAAATGAAATAATGGTCTACAAGTAACAACATTTGGAAAACAATAGAACTTTTTTAGTCTGGATAATCTTTCTAGGCTGCTGCACTGCATCCAGAGTTCTGTTAAATTGCTATCCGCAGTCTTGTCTATACCTGTAATGTTGTTTTCTGAGTGACCTCTGTGTTCTCAGGTACAAATACTGCTTTGTGAGTGCCTGATGTTTTCCCCTAAACAAAGGGGCTGAAGTTGTGCCAACTTTTTAGGCTAGTCAGACAAGCTGTGTATAGTCGGGGATGCTGTCTACACTCTTTTGACATGTGCACTTAGTGTGTAGTCACTAGGCAGCACACACAGAACTGATCAAATTTATGTTGTGGTATTTTGTTTTTTTTGTAGATGAAGTACGTACAGGCACATACAGGCAGTTATTCCATCCTGAGCAGCTCATTACTGGGAAAGAAGATGCAGCCAATAATTATGCCAGAGGCCATTATACCATTGGAAAAGAGATTGTTGATCTAGTGCTAGACCGCATTCGCAAACTGGTGAGAATTCATGCTGCAAGTCAGTATTTAAAATAATTGATACAGCTCTATAGCTATCTATAACGATAGTTTGCTATGTTTTTTCCCTAAGAATTTTGTGCATAGTTGATTGCTTAAAACGGAACAAAACAAAACAAAACTTTTATCTCCTTGCCGTCCCCGTCCCCGGTTAAATAAAAATTCAGTCAGTAAAACTTAAAATTTTTTAGGCTCTGAAATATTATTTCAAAGTATTTTAAGGATACCTCAAACATATTATGAAAGCCTTAAACAAGTGTAACAACCTTTGTTACACTTTTTTGTTTGTTTGTTATTTTCATTTTGAATCATGCCATTATGTGTCATGCAAAATATTGCTAGTACCGTGAACATCAGGTTATGGCTGAATGCTTAGCAATTTTAATTACTTCTCTAGTTTTTTTAATCATGACGTTGCATTGTGAGATATTCACGTAGGATGATATGATTCAAAGTGAAATAGTGATTGTCTACTTAAAATTACAAAAATAAAAAACCCCCTTGTTTTCAACATCTGGTTGATACTTGCTGAAAGCTAGTATGGGAACATAAACAGATCCTAAAGCTGTAACCCAGCTGTAGTTTATAGTAACTTGTCACAGTGGTGCACAGCTGCTCTTGCTTACAGTGGTATTAAAATGGCATCAGAGACAATAGAGAAACTTTTAAGTATTAAAATACTCTATTCAGAAAAAGTTATGCAGAGGCACTGGTACTTTTGAGTAAAAGACATGCAAGAAAAAAGGAAGACAACCTTTCAAGAATGCTGTTTTTTTATTGTAACAGTCTAAACCTAACAAACTTAAGAAAGAAATGCTTTTGAATAATTATTTTAATACTGCTTTCTCCAAAATCATCAATAACTTTTTTTTTTTCTCCCACTTTTTTTCCACCCCATTATAGGCTGATCTGTGCACAGGGCTGCAAGGTTTCCTTATCTTTCATAGTTTTGGAGGAGGCACTGGTTCAGGGTTTGCATCTCTGCTCATGGAAAGGCTCTCTGTTGACTACGGCAAAAAATCTAAACTGGAGTTTGCGATATATCCAGCACCACAAGTTTCCACTGCTGTAGTGGAACCTTACAACTCAATTCTAACTACCCATACAACATTAGAGCATTCAGACTGTGCCTTCATGGTCGATAATGAAGCCATTTACGATATATGTCGTCGTAACCTTGACATTGAACGTCCTACTTACACCAATTTAAACCGATTAATTGGGCAAATTGTTTCATCCATCACAGCCTCACTGCGTTTTGATGGAGCCCTCAACGTAGATCTGACAGAATTTCAAACTAACCTTGTTCCATACCCACGAATCCATTTCCCCCTGGTAACATACGCCCCTGTCATCTCCGCTGAAAAAGCGTATCATGAGCAGTTGTCTGTGGCTGAAATTACCAATGCTTGTTTTGAACCAGCCAACCAGATGGTAAAATGCGACCCTCGCCATGGCAAATACATGGCCTGCTGTATGTTATATAGAGGTGATGTTGTTCCCAAAGACGTCAATGCAGCGATTGCTACTATCAAGACTAAACGTACCATTCAGTTTGTGGATTGGTGCCCAACTGGATTCAAGGTACTTACATAGCTTTTTAAGTGGTTGATGTTTGAAATACTAGGAATTGTATAGTATTCAGAGGTAACAGTCATTCTACAACGTTGTAATGTCCCTGTTAAATCTTTTGATGAAGAAGTGCAGAATAACTGTAAGCTATTCATTTGTTCGTAACCATGGTGATTTTTGATTGTTATGAGAAATCAGTCTTTAAGCATTAGCACTCATGAGGAAAGTTTTCATTTGTTTTCTTGAAGGTGGGCATTAACTACCAGCCTCCAACTGTGGTGCCAGGTGGTGACCTTGCCAAGGTCCAGCGGGCTGTGTGTATGCTAAGTAATACAACGGCTATTGCTGAAGCATGGGCTCGCCTCGACCACAAATTTGATCTCATGTATGCTAAGCGTGCCTTTGTACATTGGTATGTTGGCGAAGGAATGGAGGAAGGAGAATTTTCTGAAGCCCGGGAAGATCTGGCTGCCCTTGAGAAAGATTATGAAGAAGTTGGTGTAGACTCAGTAGAAGCAGAGGCTGAAGAAGGAGACGAATATTTAGAAAACTGAAGTCTAGAAAAATTTATTGGGGGAAAAAAAAGAATTGCAGAACCCTGTTCACTTGTTTGATTGTTTTCAAATAAAGTTTTAAAGGTCCTACCTTCTGTTTTTTTCTTCTTTGCTATTTATTTATGTGTATTTGTGTGCACTTTCCTGTGATCCCAACATGTTCTGAGACATACTCTTTTTGATTTTTGGTTTCTCACAAGCAGGAAACTGCTTCTGCTTCAGGTTGTTACAGTACTAACATCACTGTTAATATTCCAAGCCTGTCTGCACAATACAAAGGAACCTAATCTTTCCTGAAGGTGTTTTCCCAGTAAGGCTGGCTTTGCAGAAGACTTATTAAAATCTCCAGGGTTAGTTAACTGTGTGATACTGTACTTAAGTAATTTACCTGACTAGTTATGGCAGATGCTGTTACCTTTTTGAACAGAACTAGCACTTATTATCAGATTACTTGCTAACAACATAAAACTTGCTACTTAAAAAAAAAAAAAAAAAAAAGAGGGGGGTGACATATGCAGAGGAAAAAGCAAAATTTTCCAACCAGCACACACCCCTTTTGATTCAGATAAAAGGAAGATAAAAGAGCAGATCTGTTAGCTGCTTTAAAAGAGCATTGTAATTTTTTACATTCCTACCTTGGCCCATTAAAAAAAACAATGTCCTTTAACAGTATGTTCTGATTAATATAGCTTTATAGACACTTGGAAGCAGTTAAATTGTAGGACACTCGGCTCGGGTAAAAACTGGCTGACCTGCTACCTTAAATTGTTTTAGTCCTGAATCCTGGTAAAGGAGAAAAAGCTTTAGTGTTTGTTTTTGGGTTTTTTTTTTTGCAGGTTTGGTTTTGGTTTTTTCCTTCCCCACGCGTTTTACCAAACCTGGAGAAAGGGCTACGTGTGCTAACGATAGCCAGAAGCGAATTATTTTCAGAAGTGCTTGTGACCAGTAGCTGTGGAGCGTGCAGTTGACGGAGTTCTGAAGAAAAACTCGCTGCATTTCGAACCCAAAACGCCTTCCTTTTTGCCTCCGGGAGGCCGCAGCCTAGCGCGCCGCCGCCGTCGTTGCTGCTGCTGGCGCTGCTCCTGCTGCTGCGGGCGGCGGCGCCGGCCCCGAGCCGCCCCGCGGAAGTGGCGGTGGGGGAGCGCGGCCCCCGGAGGCCGGCGGTCTGTCTGCGCGGCCGTGGCGGAGGTCTTCGGGGACCATGGTGCAGCTTTACAACTTGCACCCCTTCGGGTCGCAGCGGGTGGTGCCCTGCAAGCAAGAGCCGGCGCACTTCTGCTGCGGCCGCGATGTGCTGTTCGTGGCCAGCGCGGCGGCCAGCTGCGGGGTCGAGGTGTTCGCGGTGCGCGACCGGGGCCGCTGCGAGCCCCTGGGCTCCTTCGCCACGCTGGGTCCCGTGCTGCGCATGGCGCACAGCCAGGCAGGTCAGTCTCGTCCGCTGCTGGGCCCGGGAGCGCCGGCTCGCGTGCGGGGAGAGGCCTGCGGGCCCCCACGGCTCTGCGCTGGGGCGGGGTGGGCGACAGGACGCCGGGCCG